TATTATATTATATTATATTATATTATATTATATTATATTATATTATATTATATTATATTATATTATATTATATTATATTATATTATACAATATAATAATATATTATATTATACAATATAATATCATGTAATATAATACAATATCAAATGGTAATTTTAAGTTATTTTATTTTATTCCACCTTTTTTTTTATTTTATTTTATTATTTTATTTTATTTCATTCTATTCCATAATTGGATATAATATAATATAATATAATATAATATAATATAATATAATATAATATAATATAATATAATATAATATAATATAATATAATATAATATCATGTAGTATAATGTAATGTAATATAATACAATATCAAATGGTAATTTTATTTTAAGTTATTTTATTTTATTCCACCATTTCATTTGATTTTATTCCTTTATTTTATTTTATTCTATTTTATTTTAATTTATTTTATTTCATTTCATTCCACTATTTGACTTTATTTCATTTCATCTCATTTAATTTCATTCCTTTATTTTATTTTATTTCATTTCATTTCATGATTTTATTTTAATTTATTTTATTTCACTTTATTTTATTTCACTATTTTATTTTATTCTATTTTATTTTATTCCACTATTTCATTTCATTTCATTTTATTTCATTTTATTCCATAATTTGATTTGATTTCATTTAATTACATTTTATTCCGTTATTTTATTTTATTTCATTTAATTTCATTTAATTCCATTTCATTCCATTATTTTATTTTATTTTTATTTATTTTATTTTACTTTATTTTATCTTATTCCACTATTTTATTTTATTTTATTTTATTTTATCTTATTCCACTATTTTATTTTATTTTATTTTATCTTATTCCACTATTTGATTTCATTTCATTATTTTTGTTTTATTTTATTTTATTCCACTGTTACGTTTCATTTCATCTCATTATTTTATTTTATTTTATTTTATTTTATTTTATTTTATTTTATTTTATTTTATTTTATTTTATTTTATTCCCCATTTCAGATCAACTTGGAGGAGGCCAGGGAGATTTGGCACAACATGAAGGACCTGGATGGAGATGTGGAAAAGAAATACAAGATGACTTGTGATGGTAAAAGAGATGGAAAATCCCTCAGGAAAAATGGATTTGGTGCTGGAAAAATCAATGGATTTCTTATTCCTGCTTAAAAAAGGGAAAATCCCATTTTTCCTGCTGCTGGCTCAGCAGGGAATGTCCCTCTGGCTCAATTTTTTCACCTATAAAATCCATAAAATTTATTTGTGCTCCCACTGGGATAAAAACGTGTGGATTTGAAGGATATTCCCTTTTTTTTTTTATTTTAAACATCTAAAAAAATCCAAAAAATATTACAAGTTTCTCCCTGCACGTCCTTTCCTCTGGATTGTGCCGGAGAAAACTTTTCCTTGGAATTTTTACCGGGCAATAAAAAATTGGGAATCACCAAATTCCAGCTGGGGAACGGAAACTCTTCCAAACATCCTGGAAATTCCAAGTGAAATCTTAGCAAACAACCCCAAAAAAAAAAGGGAAAAAAGGGATTTATTTTAAAGATTTATTTTTAAGATTTATTTTAAAGTGATCTATGCTGAGAGAATTCCCCTCTCCGTGAAATTCCCGATTTTTTTCCCCTCAGGATATTTGAAACTCTGGCAGCTCAGCAAACCCCAGCTCTCAGGATACGACGCCATTTTTGTGGATGAAGCTCAGGATTGCACACCAGGTGAATTATTCCAAGAATTCCAGCTCCAATCCCACTTCCAGAAGGAATTTCCACATTCATGGGAACGCTTTGGGAATATCTTAACCCAAATATTTGGAATTTCAACCCAATTTTCCCCTCGGGTTTAACTTGTGAACCGATTTGCGTTCGGAGCGGGTTCTTCCCTCAATATCCAAAGTTTTCCCTTGGATTTGGAGCGGGTTCACCATCCAGATTTTTAATTTTTTAATTCCCACAGCCATCGTGGATATCGTACAATCCCAAAAATGTGGGAAAATCCTGGTGGGAGACCCTCACCAACAGATCTACACATTCCGAGGGGCCGTCAACACCCTCTACTTGCTGCCCCACAGCCACGTGTTCTACCTGACCCAGGCAAGGGCACAATTCCCATGGAAAAATCCCAAATCTGTGGAAAATTTGGGATCTGGGATAGAGGTGGCGTTGTGGGGAGATTCCTGGGTTTTTGGTTTGGTTGGGTTTTTTTTGAGGGGAATATCTGGGATGTTGGAGGTGGCTGTGGGATGTGATGGGATGGAGATGATGGGAGAGCTGGGAATGTTCTCCTGGAGAAGGGAAGGCTCCAGGGAGAGCTTCCAGCACATTCCAGGGCCTGGAGGGGCTCTGGGAGAGCTGGAATTTGGGGAAGGCCTGGAGGGGCACGACACAGGGAATGGCTCCAGATTGGAAAAGGGGAGATTGGGGTGGGATTTGGGAATTCCCAGAGCAGCTGTGGCTGCCCCAAATCCCGGGAATGTCCAAGGCCTGGGATGGTGGGAGGTGTCCCTGCCCATTCAGGATTTTCAGGATTATTTTGGGAATTTTGGTGCCTTTTCCAGGAGAAGCAGTCCAGGAGCTTGGTGGGAATCACATCATTTGGATTTAAGAATTATTGGGATTTCTAGGAATATTTTGGATGGATTTAGTGTTTTTTTATGGAAAAATTCTCCAGAAGATTGCTGGGAATGCAATAATTCCATGTGGAGCCATCTTTGGATGGATTCCAACAATTCCCTCTTGTTTTGGTGCTGATCCCGGGATTTTTCCGTGCAGAGTTTCCGCTTTGGGCCCGAAATCGCCTACGTGGGATCCACGATCCTGGATTTGTGCAAAGGGATCCGCGGGAAAACCCTGCTGGGAGGGACCCAAAAGGGTGAGATGAGATTGGGAATGAGGGAAAATTCCCGGATAATTGTGGGATAGAAGTCTGGAGTCATTTGTTAGTTAATTATAATTAATTGTAGTTGTAATTAATTATAATAATAATTCATTATCAGTAATTAAAACTAAATTATGAAATAGAATTCATATCATATATAATGATATATTAATTAAAATTATATATTAAAATAAATTATATTAAATAATTATATATTAATATATTAAAATATAATTATATATTAAAATATAATTATTAATTATAATGATATCTCTATATATAATATATAATATATAGAATTAATTCTAATTATATTTTCATTTTTAATTAGTTAACATTTTAAAAAATACTTAATAGAACTAATTGTATTTCTATTAATAAATAATTTAAGTTTAATAAATTTGGAATAATTTATCATTATAGATATAATTAAATTGTAACGAATATATTATAACTTATAGCATATAATTATATAATTAATTTAATATATTAATTATATGTTATTATATATAATCTATTTTTGTGTATAATAATTGTTATATGATTAATATAAAATATTAAATTTTTATGTAATTAATTATAAATAATTGAGTATATTGATAGCTATATTAATAAATATTTATTAATTATTAATTATATATAATTGTTTTAATATCATTAATTGTTATATATAATAATATATTGTATGATTATATATAACCTACAGTAATATATTATATCTTAAATATTATTAATATTAATATTTATAATTAGTTGTAATTAATAATATTAGTATTTAAAATATTTAATAAAATAATCGAATTATTCTATAATATTTATGTTTTGGAGTTATAAATAATATATATAATATTATAGTGGGAATGGTTGTGGATAACTGGGAATTCCTGGCAGGAATGGCTGTGGATATCCAGGAATTCCTGGCAGGAATGGCTGTGGATATCTGGGAATTCCTGGCAGGAATGGCTGTGGATAACTGGGAATTCCTGGCAGGAATGGCTTTGGATAAGTGGGAATTCCTGTGGATAACTGGG